GGGGCACCGGCGGAGAATGCACCAAAGCTATAACTGTTTTGCTCTTTCTGTGTTCGTCCAGCGTAACAGGTATCACAAAATCATCTTGTAGGTTTGTAGATTGTATTGGAGGGGGGATGTTAATCACCACGACCTTCTAGATCTATTGTCTCCCCTTTTCTTGAGTTATAACTACACTATAGTACTTGATAGTATGATTACAGACTGAGGGTTTTGACAAAAGGCAGTATTTGAGACGGTTCTTCATCTCCGATATCAGTCGTACCAGTTTATTACACGATATGGTTATTAATTAATTTTTAACCAAATAATTTTATCTATAACATAAACTTCTGACTAAAGTCGCAGGAACCTTCACCCATCCTACTAATTTGACTTTCCGAACTCGATCTCCCGAAAACATCCAAACCGTTTTTTCATCTTTTCCCTTCCTCCTTCTTCTTTCTCCATTTTAAAAGCCGCCCGCCGCTCCTTTGCCTCGGAAGTAAATAAAATCCCATAGCCTCCCGCCTTTTCTCACCAGCGAGCGCTTCGGCGTTGGAAGGGGGACAACACCATCCAGCCATCTCCGGCTGTGCCAGATGGGAAAAATGGAAAAGCGGTGCTCGGCTCTCTGCGAAAGGGATTTAGAAAAATACGTCCTTTGAGTCCGACAAAGCCCGGCCAACGTTCCATCTTCGCCCTCCGTCTTGTGATGTCCCTTTCTCTCTCGCTCTTGCTTGTACAGGGTGGTCATCAAGGATAACGAAAAAGTATTGAGGAAATTCCTTTTGTAATACGGAGTACCTAATTTCAATTTCTATTAAGCATTGTTTAATCTTCTAACTCGTAACATTTCCGCTAAATCTGATATGGCGATTTCAATCTAGTAGATTTTTTTATTTTTCTCAAGCTAGACTTCACTCAAAAGATTTGAAATTAACTAATATATATTTAACTTAATTTTTTTCCTTTTTATTTCGATATTTCATTAATTACAATTCCTAAAAAGTCTTATCTTCAAAATTATACTTTGATTCACGAAAGAGATAGATTGTATATTGATCTAAATGTGTTAGAATAAGACAACTTTTTAATGTATTGTCTGAGAACAGAACCAAAGACGGCCCTTTTTTTGTACTAAACAAAGATAGACAATGTTTTCTTTATGCATTTTAAAAAGTGGTGAGGACTACTGAATGTATTTACAATCGCAATAAGGTTATTTCTCAATTCATTGGAATATTCAGTACGATGCATGTACGATACAATCGTCATATTTTCTGGAACTGACTATACACTACTTCAAAACTTATTAGCAATGCTATTAATTTTTCATTCATTTTAAACAAATACTTAATCATATATTTTTAAACAAATACCTTTACTAAGGTTGATAATATACCGGGTGCGTCTCAAAAGTGGCTCACCCCTATAACTTCAGATAAAAAATCGATATTTGGTGTATTAGTATATGACATAAATTAGGATTGATTGACGTATTCAATTGTTTTAGGCCACTTCCTGTTACACCGGAAATTGCCTACAACTTTTGATTTTTAAATGGCACTCTCGGTATTTTGTTACTTTATTCGATTGCTGCCAAAAGTTACTAACTTACTTTTTATTACTTCCGAGAAAAATGCGTCTAAAGATGAATTGCATTACATAAAGATGTTATAGTTAGTAACTATTCGGTATTAAAATAAAATATAAATAGCCAGAAATCGTAGTTAATATGACTTTTGCAATCGATTCTCCAATTCAAAACATAGTTAGTGATTGAATTTGGTTGTTCGGAAAAACGTTAGTAACTTTTGGCAGCAATAGGACGATATCATATGTCAACTTTCGACATTTTCGAATATAATTTATTTGAAATTACAACACGCGATTCATAACGTCAATTTGACTCGAAATACCAAGTGTGTGGTACCAAATTATTCGTAAAAAATGCTTTTTCCGAATATGCTAATGAGCGACCCTCGTTCCATTTGAAAAAATTGAGATATGGTTAAAACACAATTTGGGCATCTTTTTTTACCGGCCAATACAAAACACTAAAAACTAAAATCATTAGACGATCAAACCTATTTCTCTAAGGCTCCTTGATTAAAAATTGGCGTTTCTAACACAGCCATGGCACTCTATATTGAAATTTAAAATACAATTTTGTTTTAAGCGAAAAGGATATGTCATATAGAGAGTGTCATTTTCTAGGAAATAAAGCAAAAAAATACAAAGGGTGCCATTAAAAAAACAAAAGTTGTAGTCATTTTCGGTGAAACAGGAAGTAGCCGAAAATAATTGAATACGTCAATCAATCCTAATTTATGTCATATACTAACATACCAAATCTCGTTTTTTTTATCCGAAAAAATAAAAAAGTTATAGGGGTGAGCTACTTTTGAGACGCCCTCGGTATAGTCTGTTCACACGCTTTCAAAGTGTAAAGAAATTGCTAACCGGCTACCAATGTCAACTCTTGATGTCATGTCAACCTACCATTGTCAACAACTTGAAATGGAGTACTTAGGACTTACCGTAGCCACGCCAACTTTTTTTAATACAAACCTACCTCGTGCATCGTTATGGACAAGCTCGTTGCTTTCTCTTTAGAAGTTCATAGCAAAATCTTTAATGATACGATACAATAGTTTTTGAGATATGTTACGTTTTTAAAGCTGAGTTTATATGCATCCGAAATGCATCGTCCATGGTTCCGTCACTCCAATCATATTTAAATATGAACTGTCATTTTTGAAATAAACCAATAAAATTACATAAAGTCAAATACGAGTGTCACATGGAAACCCACACTAAAACGTTTTTTAAACAAATAATTTTGACTTTTGTTCAAACTTAAAATATCATATAGGTCTTAAATTTCTATCGGATGTTTAAAATATATTTATTTTAACCTCGCCGTAAAATTTCTCAACGTATTAATAGTCCACCCTGTATACACAGAGAAGTTTCAGACACAGGACAAAGAGAGAAAACATTTTCTTTGCTTCTTTTTTGTTCTCATTCTATCATCCATTTTCATATCCGAGTGCAAGTAGGAGAGAAAATGATGGGGTGTGGAGAAAAGACATATCCTAAGCCATTAAATTGAAGATATACTGTCGGTGGTGGTGGGAAAAAAGATCTCCGAAAAATGATTAGTGTGAGTCAAAGTACAATAAAAAAAGTAAGACCACTTAAGCCGGCCTCAGTTGCTCGCCTTTCCCTACAGGAATTCTAACAAGGAAATCAGAGGAGTTTTCTGTATTTTCTTTTACAGAACAAACCGTGGAAATTAGTACTGAAGAGATTTTTGGTTGAGATAGGAAGTTTTACTTCAACTCCGCCTTTTGTATTATCTTATGTTAATTAACAAATTGGTGTTGAAACGTCTCTCTTTGCTGCTAACGCTAATCTGGACGGAGCCTACTTTGCTACCGCAGGATCTAAACCGTGGTCGTCGGCCATATACAGGGTGTTTCAAAAAACATGTGCCATCTTTCGTGGGAAAATTCCTCACGTAAAAATAAGATTTATTTGTCATATTAACATAGGTCCGATTCTACTTTGTTTCGTAGCTACAGGGTGTTAAGGTCTTAATATTTTTTCGATTTATTATAATTTTCTTCTAAGTACTTTTAGCGTTTTGAATGAAATTTTGAGAGTAAAAGTTACTATAAGTGCTAAATATTTTAATGCCAAAAAAATGTCGACATATTCATCAGGGACGTGCATACGGGTTATCACTGGAATATTTTTCGAAAAAAAAAACATGTGCGCCACTGACTTTTTTTCTTTTGATATTAAATTTGTATAGGCCGATTAATGCAAATTAAAAGATATCTGTTGATATTTTGTCGAATTCGGCCTCCTTGATGAGATAAACGCAATTTTATTAATCTCTATTAATAAAATTAAATAAAAAATAAAATTAATAAATTATATATTTTATCTAATTTATTATTAAATAAATAAATTATTACTCTTAGTTATTATTACTATTAGTCAAACCTACAGCAATTTTAAATAAAAGAATAATGGTATTTAAGATAATTACAAAAAACCTAATTTTAAAAAGTTTTAGCATCCTGTAACTCTAAAATTATGCATTTCCATACCCATATCTATAGGAACTGTTTTTCGTATTTTTCGATGAGGAATCAATGAGTACTTATTTAAAACTTTCGCAAGTTAATGATATTATTTTTTTAAAGGTTGCTATTAGACTCTTGGATCAAGGCAAATTAATAAAATTGCGTTTATCTCATCAAGGAGGCCGAAATCGACAAAATATCAAGAAACAACTTTTAATCAGCATTACACGGCTTACACTATTTAGCTAACAAGAGAAAAAAAGTCAGTGGCGTACATGCTTTTTTTAAAAAAATATTCCAGTGGTAACCCATATGCACGTCCTTGGTAAAATGTCAACACTTTTTTAGCTTTAAAATATGTCGCATTTACAGTAACTTTTACCCTCAAAATTTCATTCGAAACGCTAAAAGTACTTAGAAGAAAATTACAATAAAACGAAAAAATATTAAGACTTTAACACCCTGTAGCTACGAAACAAAGCAGAATCGGACCTATGTTGATTTGAAAAATAAGTCTTATTTTTACGTGAGGAATCTCCCCACGAGCGATGGAACATGTTTTTTGAAAAACCCTGTATATCATGCTGCTTAGCATGCTTTCTAATGTTTGGTCTTAGATGCTGCTTAGATCGTATCAACAAATGTTAAATCAGTTGATACGATTCATATAATGTCCAAGTAAGACACGCACAGCGTTCAGTTCCTAACCATTCTCCTAACTAACCCTAACCCTAACCTGACCTAACCAATTCCAGCACTTGATTCAAGTACACTTGTACCGTATCAACCGGGGTTTAACTTTAAACTTACTGAAGAAAATGATTCAAAAGTATTAACTCTTTTGTATAATAATTCTATGACCAAAGAGAATACGTCACTAAAATGAAGAATAAAAAAGAAGGTGATGACAAAAACACTAACCTGTATATCAATTTTCTTCTCACCGACCTCTTGAAGAAGCCCGAACATCCATTACATGCCAAGATACCATAATGCTTGCCAGAACTGGTATCCCCACATACCACGCAAATGAGACCAGGAGTTCCTTTCTTGGTGGGAAGACTCCATGGTGGTGGAGGTGTTCTGGAAGCCTGTACTAAGGTTTGGGAACTAGGCAAACAGAGGGCTAGCGGATGGTCGCTGTCTGGGGTGTAGCAATCGACACTGCCAGGCGATGTTCTTAAATCTGAAAAAGGAGATGTAATTTAACTTTCTTTGGCTACTTTATTTTCTTGTGTTTGTTATATCAATTCCTCAAAATTAGCTCACGCCTATAATTTCTTTATTTTTTCAGAAAAATAAATTGACTACTATAAATAAATAAATTTTGTAAATCAGGATTGATTGACGTTTTCAATTGTTTCCAGTCACTTCCTGTTTCACCGGAAATTACTACGACTTTTGATTTTTAAATGGAACCCCCGGGATATTTCTACTTTATTCGATAGAAAATGAAATTCTGAATCGATTGATAAATCACATGTCAACTTCAAATGACTCAAACTAAATTTCGCATTCTTGTAGCTTCTTTTCTTGTTTTACAATATGGTGTTCTCAGATTTTCAAACCGTTAGTTCGTCTTTGAACTGCTATCATCAATTTTCTTTTTTTTAAAATACGGCCCTGAATGTTTTATTAAAGATTTCAAAAGGGTTTAAAATATGGCTGCCAACTATGAAAATAAAAAATAGAAGAGAGACAATAAGGTAAAAAAGAGGCACAGGTGAAACCTTTTTTGAGACCTCGTCCAAATGTCTAGAATTTACCAAAAACTTATGTTAACGCTATATTGATGGTTTTTCTTACTTTCTTAAAAATATTTATACTCAAAACTTGTTGAAATAAAACAAATCATTTTTAACAAAACTTTTTTTTTCAAAACATAAGCCAGCAGTAAATAAACATAAATAGTTTAACATGTTTATCGCTTCCATAAATATTTCTTGTACAGGGTGGGTCAAATTCGACGCTTTTAAATGGAAACACCCTTTTCTATAGGAGATAGACGAAAACTAATATCGGTGTCTGGAGCTCAATTTTCATCAAAAACATGATGGTAAAAATCGCACATCAATATTTGTTACCGTTTCGGAGTTACGAGGTGTTTTTCAAAAATGTGCATTTTTAACAAACCGCTGTGACTTTTTTGCTATGGAAAATTTTGTATTTCTATGAAAACATTTCCAAAGCACCTTTTTACGTAGAATTTAATGGTTTAAGCATATATTTTTTTAATTAATAATTTAAGAGTTATCAACAGAAAAATTGATTTTTTATTTGGGACACCCTCTATATTTTTAATTAGCAGAAAAGAATTTAAAATTACCTTTCCAAAAATATAGCACACTTGATATTTTGTTATAATCCCCTTCGAAATACAGAATTTTTAAAAGTTCGCCACTTTTAATTAGTAGGCTTTGGACCCCTTAATGATGATATGCCCTTAATTGAACTCGAAAACATATTTTTCCAGCAAGACGACGCACCGCCTCTGAACGATGAAGTTATCAGCAAATTTTTGCAGCCAATTCCAAGAATAATTGAATAGCTAACAAAGATCCCAGCCGTTGGCCGTCGAGGCCGCCTGACTTAGTGCCCATGGATCTAATCCTATGGATATATTTGCGGAAGAATAAAGGTTCCTTATTATTCCGTATAATCTAGACAAGAATTAGAAAAACTTAGCAGTTATGAGAGGATATCTTTCACCCCCACTGAGTTAATGAATTCCGCGAGAAATGTTCAAAAACTGCCCCGTCTGTCCATAACATAAGACGGTTGATATGTCGAACACCTGTAGCAAAATCTCATATCTTGGTTTGCTATTTATTTTTATTGTTATTAGATATAGTTTAAATGTGTTGATGTTGGTTAAATATATTTTAAATTGTTATAAAATTCTGCATCTCTCATAGCAAATATTATTTTCGTTTTAATTGATGCTCACAACTAGAATATTTTTGCATTACAGCCGGTGCCGTTCAAATCCTACTTATTTAAAGCGGGCGAATTTCTATATACTCTATATCTCGAAGAGGAATCGAGCAAAATATCAAGTGTGTTACATTTTTGGAAAGGTAATTTTAAATTGTTTTCAATAAATTAAAAATATACAGGGTGTCCCATATAAAAAATCAAATTTTCTGTTGATAATTCTTAAATTATTAATTTTAAAAAAATTATACTGAAACCATTAAATTCTACGTAAAAAGGTGCTTTGGAAATGTTTCCATAAAAATACAAAATTTTCCAAAGCAAAAAAGTTACAGCGATTTGTCAAAAATGCATATTTTTGAAAAACACCCCGTAACTCCGAAACGGTAACAGATATCGATATGCGGTTTTCACCATCATGTTTTTGACAAAAATTGAGCTCCAGACACCGATATTAGTTTTCGTCTATCTCCTATAGAAAAGGGTGTTTCCATTTAAAAGCGTCGAATTTGACCCACCCTGTACATAAATACTTCTTCATTTTCTTTTCTGTACAAACGAGTGGGAGTAGAGACAGACAAAGATTAGCAATTTTTTTAAAGCAATGTGGCCATAGACGAATATGTTTTAGATTTTGAGTTTGGTATGTAAAAAAGAGGACTTTCTCAATAAGTGAGTGGAAAGAGAACAGTGAGATCAAAAAGTTTAAAATGTTCAAAACCCAATGATGTATCGCATTATTTAAGAAATTCATATTAATTATTTTCTGGTATATGGTCTGGAGAAATTTGACTTTGGCAATAGTTTTTTTCTTTGAATTTGATTAAAATTGACAATTTGATTGAATTGATTAAAAAAATTATAATCTGCTGCTTTGGGTATCTGAAAAATTTGACATTTAAACAGATAGGTCGCTAAAAAATTAATTTCTTCAGCCGAATTTAGGAAAAAAGTATTTAAATAAGTTGTTTCTTCTATAATTTTATAAATGTGTAACAATTTACAGTATTTATTACAGTACACAGTATTACAGTATTTATTTACAGTATTTATGTATTAGCCATCTAGGAGAAAAAATGTTTGATCATTTTTAACTAATAACAGCCGTTTCAAGTAGTAGAAGCAAAAGTAAAGTTATTGTAGCTTTCTTATTTATAGATCAGTTTGTTTTGAATTTTTTGAATACTGTGGATTGTGGGCTAACTAGGCTATTGAAAATACGTTTTGACATTTAGTATTTTACAAATACCGTATGATCGAAAAAAAACCGCGTACAGTTGGCTCGGAAATGAACATCGATGATATTTCCCATATAATTTTAGATATAAATGACTGTGGTCTTCATTTCATAGCCATGGCTGACGCCGTTTTTTTTTCGATCATATTGTAGTTTCCAGGCTATGTTTCCAGCAATTCAAACCTATTTTCATGATGTCATTTCGATTTAAGTGGAGAAGTTATTCAAAACTTTTAATTTTCTAATTAACTTAAAGTGATTAAAAAGCTAAATTAAGCATCAGTTAAGTCAATTTTAAAATTAATCAGTTTTTAAAGTTAAAAAATCACTAACAAAAAATTCTATCATCAGTTATTTTTGCTTCTACCTGGGGAACTCGCTTGGGAAGCTGCTATTGGTTAAAAAACAAAGGAAAGAATTTAATACAGATGGCTGAAAACTGACGTTAAAATTAAAAAATTAACATCTTTTTCAACTAAGTTCTTTATAATTCGGTAATAAACCCAGTTCTTGGCTATTTATGGACACCCGAGAGCAACAAAGGTAAATTTTATTATATCATTTTTAATCATTTAAATGCAAAACTAACTCCACAGTCATATTTCAACAAATCATTAATAAAAAATTCCATATGATGCACATTTTATTAGTGGAACTGTATGTGGTTATAAGGGGATAAATATTTCACAAATTTTTACATATATTTACATATCCTAGTTGGAAGAATAAATAAAAACAATAGACATGTAATGTCCCAAAATGAATTATTAATGCTCAAAAAGATCACACAATCAGAACAAATCACTAACATGTGGCTATAAAGAAGCGCTTCATAATTTTAAACCTCTTCACCCTCTATCTGTCTAGTATGTTCCTAACTGAAGAATGCGCATGTTACACCTCGCAATTACGATGGTTCAACATAAACGAGATTATCTACACGCACTCAAAGACCTTTTCACAACCTGCTACCACCGGAGCCCATAGGGTCCATGTGCTCACCACCATCCCCATTGAATCGTTGTCTGTTACGTAGGAATGTTGTCTGTATCGATATAATATAGTACAAAATAAGTAGAAAAGAGATTGAAAATATTTTTCAACACGGTAATATATTCTAAACATATTTTTTCGATGATCGACTCTAGTTCTAAAGAAACTCCTTTATAGTACAAAAATAACAGTAAAGTAATGTTAGACTAGTAGTTTTAGTATAGATGTATAACAACAAAACAGAAAAGAAATTGAGATGAACCGCCTATTTAAAAATAAAAATATTTCTCTAAATTCAAAACATTCATTTTTAAGACACTCTGTATATAAATAAAATTATTGATCTTTAAAATATTATTCGCAAAGTAGGGAGAGGACAAATAAAAAAAATCAAACAAATAACAGCGATAATAGGTGTTAGGTAATAGCTTTTAGACTACCATTCGAGACGCATTGATGTTATTGCTGCTTCGTAAGTTTTGTGACAAAGAATGCTATTAAAAGTAAAGAAAATGTTGTCTCATTATTCAACTAGTGTTAACTAAAGCATATCGCCTATTTGTCTCTTGTAATATTCTGTGCTAAAGATTTTCCTTATTTATTTCATCTCAGAATTATATAACTGTGTATGTATTCAATGGAATCGATTTAGGCTGTGAATAATTTCAGTTTAAAAGTTATCTAAATACAAACCTTTACTGTCCATTCGTGCCGATGTTGGTGGTTCAGTGTAAGAATAAGGAACATCTTAGCTCACAAAAAAGCAAATAAAAACAATAAATAGAACAACTCATAAAATAACTTATAATCAGTTTATACCGTTTATACTGTTGATGATCCTGGGTTGTTATACTACAAAATCTATGAAATTTAATACATATTTCAGGATTAACAAGTGTTTTAATACCAATTTTCAGTACATCCCATAATATTTTAAATTAATTTTATTTTAACTACCTCAATAAGGCAGGTAACTGGATATCAATAGTGCTCCTGATAACATTTTCCGACCACTTGTGAAA